TGATATAAACCATATCATTGATCCCAAATTTTCATCATTATCATTACTCAATTACTTATTACTCCCCCATCCAATTGTACTAGTATGTTTATTTTTTTATCTTAAGAAGATAATTACAGTAAATTAATTAATTAAATTTTATATTGATCCTTAATTAAGTGTAGTACCATTTAAATAAGAATTCTTACTTAATATATATTGTAATTATCTTTTTAAAATAAAAGTAAATTAAGAATGCATGCATTAAAAGAAACCTAATAAGGAAAATTGGACAACTAAATTTAAACACTCTAAATAGAAAATTAGGTTTACTAAAATTGAATAGCAGAGGTACAATTTGAAAAAATCTTAACTTATTTCTATCCCTTTTGAGATATGGATAAAGTTGAAATATTAATATTTAATCTTTTACTAAAATGAAAAATGAGACAATTAATTCAAACCACCCCTATTTAAAAAATGAGACAACTACTCCTTGTGTTTTAAAATAATTATTACCTTTTATTTTTTTTCTAAATTAAGGATTTAGAGATAATTTTTATATTTGTTTATATTACTCTTAAGAAAGAAACAAGACATAAAGAGGGACTTTTTGTTATACAATGATTAATAAAAATAAATGGATAATAAAATGGTTAAAATAAAAAATTATTTATTTTACTTAAAAAATAAAAAATAATAATAATTAATTTAAAATAAACTTAAAGTAGAAAAGCTATATTTACTTTGAAATAGAGGAAATAAATCAAACCGAAAAGGGTACTCCCACTTGTCACACTTTTAAGTGTATTAATGATTTAAATCTACAATAATCTTAACTGAATTTTGATTCTAAAATCAATTAATACTTAAGTAATTTAACAGTAATCTTTTTGTTATGAGAGTTAAAGATGTAATATACGTTCCAATTTCGTAGTTTTTAGGAGGGTTTTTTTTTTATTTTTTTTCTTTTGGTTGTATAATGTAAGGCAATCATATTTCATCTTTTATTTCTTATTCCATCCCACTCGCATATTACGCGACTTGAACTCAATACCTCTTAGTTCCAGTGGAAAGAAATAATCACTGAGTTATTTAAGTTGTTGGCATCTTTAAGAGGGGTTAAGTAAACAATTTTTAAAAAAAAAATGATTTTAAAGAAAGTTAATACTTGTCAACGACTTAAATAACTTAGTAGTCATCTCGTTATGTTGGAAATAAGATATCCTAAATTCGAATCGCATAATATATGAGTAGGGTGGGATAAGAAATGCAAGATAGTTGCTTTTCATTATGCAACCGAGACAAAAAAAAAAAAAGTTAATACTTTATTTATTTATAACTACTCCTTTTCTTTTAAAATAACTATTATTTTTTTATCTTAAATTTGTTTCAAATTAATTGTATTTTTTTTATTTTGAAAGATAAACATAATTTTTTTTTATTTTAGCTTTATCATTATTTATTTACTTTCATTAATTATTCTATCACAAAAAATATTGTTTTATTTTTTTAATTTTTTAGAAATAATATAAATACATATAGTACATAAATTGTT